GGGTGTGGCATATGCTAATGAGTTATGCTAATGAGTTCCCCTAGCTCTTTTTCTACGAAATGACCCCTGGCTGAGTATGCAACTGGCTCAAGGTCACCCAGCTAGCAGAGTGGGGAATCGAACCTGGGTTACCCAGGTCCAAGTCCATTGCTCTAGCCACTCCACCACACTGCCTGGTCTTCGCTCCTCAGCTGCAGAACCTATAGCAGCACACCAGCACGCAGGGCATCATTTGAAAAGAAGGCGGAAAGGTGGCACAGGAAATGCAGACAAGCGGAAATGCAAGATGGTGAATTAGAAATCCTTGGAAAGCATCGATAGAAATACTGCTCAGCACTCTTGGGAAATGCAGAGCTTGCCTTACTTATCTCATTGGAGGCTTGCCAACCTCCAGGTGGGGCCTGGGTTTCTCCTGGAAATACAACTCATCTCCAGACCACAGAGATCAGTCCTCCTGAAGAAAATGGCTGCTTTGGAGGGTGGGCCCTCCTGCTGCGGTCACTCTCCAACCCGTCCTCCGCGGGCTCCACCTCCAGACCTCTAGTAATTTCCCAGCCCAGAGCTGGCGACTCGACCTCATTGTGGGACGAAAGTCAGAGCTCTGTCTGGGTCTCACATCCCAGGTAGACAAGCATCTTTCTTAACCGTCCTTCTCTGGCGTCCCTCTCCTCTGAAGGTCCAAACCCTGGCGACCTGCTCATTCGGAACCTGTCCAAGGATCACGTGGGCTTCTATCAGTGCAGCGTGGCCAACAAAGTCGGATCAACCCAGTGTGTTCAGGAAATCTCTCTTCCAGAAGGTAAGAGACTCGCATCTAGTGCCTGGATAATTCCAGAGCTTTTTGTTTTGGAAAAAGAGGTGCCGGAACTCGCAAGGGGGAAGTGACGTTTTCAATCTGTATCCTGAAAACGTATGAACTTTTAAATGTTAAAGAGGGTCCAGAACTCTGTTCAGGAGTGTTCCCCCGGGGAAAAAAAGCCTGATTAATTTCAAATTACGGGATTGTCTGGTGGAGCCACAAACCCAGGAACAGGAACAGACAGAGCTACATTTCTAAGAAATTACGCTTCTAGCCCTTCAGGATGTAAAGATATGCTTTAAAACCTGTGGGTGTTGGCAAAATCTCTGGAGACAGAGGTCTTGTTGAATAAAATTTCCAGAGTGTGAGTCTCCGGCTTCCCCCCACATTGTGTAGCCTGTGCAGAATAAATTACGCAATATAGTCAAAAGGGTAGGAACAATTGTGTAAAAAAATCATGCAAATGTGATTGATTCATGCCAGGGATACCAGCCTCCAGGTGGGACCTGGGGATCCCCCAGAATTGCAGCTCATCTCCAGACTACGGAGATCAGTTCCCCTGGAGAAAATGGCTGCTTTGGAGGGTGGACTCTATGGCATTGTGCCCCACTGAGTTCCCTGTCCTCCCCAGGTTCCACCCCCAGATCCCCAGGAGGTTCCCAACCTGGATCTAGCAACTTTATCCCCCATCCCCTGCCCGTGGCCAGGAGGAATCTGGCAACCCTCCTTTCAAGTAGATACAAGATTCCTCTTGTTGCAGAATTTAGGCAATTGTGGGAGCGATCCTAAACAGCTGTACTGAGATGTAAACCCTAAATTATTCAGCGAGGTCAACTCCTGGGAATGTGTCCTTAGGATTGCAGCTTTGGGGGTGCAGAATTTTATGTATATATTTCTACTTTAAAAACCCAGCTAAATTAAGTCACGTAAGCGCCTCTTAACTCAGCATTCTTGAAAGCATTCCGTCTCCTCTTGCTCTGCAGGTGCCAGTCAAGTGGGCATCATTGTGGGGTCCGTCTTCGGCTCTCTTCTATTGCTGCTGCTTCTTGTCTGTCTCATCCTGGGGCTCGTCTGTTGCTGCAAGCGGAAGCGGACCAAAGAGCAGTGCAATCAGATCAGGTGACTGAACAAGAGAGGGAAACCGGTATCTGTTGCAATGGGTGATGGGAATCCAGGGCCTGCTAGGGTTGCCAGGTCTTGCCTTGCTTTTAGCAGTGGGCTCCTGGGTCCATCCTGGAGTCTTCTTCGTGCGCACGGCATGATGACATCACCCAGAAGTTCTCACACCGGGCACGTTGACGTGCTGACACTCTAGCATTTTGGCCAACAACTCTATGGTAACCATAGAGTTTCGACCAAAATGCTAGAGTGTCGACACGCTTGCCGTGATGATGTCACTTCCGGGTGACGTCATTGTGCCGCCGACCACATTGGTGCTGCCATGGCAACCAGTTTGCAAGACCTGAGCAGGGTTCTCAATGATAAGGGATTCTGGAGGTCAATAATTGATAACAGACAAGCTCCCTGGATTTCAGTCCACTGAAACTCCAAATCTAAGGCAGTTTCAAACTGGTTTTAACCATTACGGCTTCCTCCAGGACACCTGTAATTTTATGAGAATGCTAAAACGTCTTGGTTAGAACTCATCGGTCGTTTCTTAATACTGCAAATCCTGTGGTTCTGTGGTTTGTGGGAGTCTGGACCGTAAAAAAAGATTTCAAGCAAGTTTAAATGTGGGGTCTGGAGTTAGAACTGCCAGCTCCAAGTGGGGAAATTCCTGAAGATTTGGGGAGGGAGCCTGGGGAGGGTGGGAATTTGGGGAAAGGGGGACCTCAGCAGGATATAAAGCCAAAGCACCCCTCTTCCAAACCAGCCATTTCCTCCAAAGGAACTGATCTCTGTTGCCTCATAAGAACATAAAAACGTAAGAGAAGCCATGGTGGATCAGGCCAGTGGCCCATCCAGTCCAACACTCTGTGTCACACAGTGGCCAAAAGCCAGGTGCCATCAGGAGGTCCAGGACCGGGGCCAGAACTCCAGAAGACCTCCCACTGTTGCCCCCCCCCCCAGCACCAAGAATATAGTGCATCACTTGCCCCAGAGATAAGACATTAGGAGAAGCTCTGCTGGATCAGGCCAGCGGCCCACTCAGGCCAACACTCTGTGTCACACCATGGCCAAAACCCAGGCCTCGAAGTCAGTTGTAATTCTGGGAGAACTCCAGGCCTCGCCTGGAGGTTGACAACCCAAAGTAGAACAGGGGGTCAGGTCAGGTCAGGTGCTCTGGGAACTGAGCACAAAGGCCTTCCATCAGAAAGTTCACTGAACTGTAAATGACTTCGCAGAACTTCCTGTACAGGGAAGTTCCAAGGGACTATTTCAGTTTATGTACAACTAGACAATCTGAGCGTTGGAGAACTCTCTAAAGCAGCGATTCTGCCAGATCACAAGTCCTCAAAGTCTCCTAGCCCACTGTAGAAGTCCAGACTTCTGCCTCTTTCACTAGCCACCTTCTGCCTTTGCCAAACTGTATCCAGTCCATCCCCTCCCTGAATACAAAGGGTCACACACATAAAAGAAACATGAAGATGCCTTATACCGAATCAGATCATCAGCCCATCAAAGTCAGTAGTATTGTCCACTCTGACTGGTAAGGGCTCTCCAGGGTCTCAGGTAGATATCTTTCACGTCACCTACTGCCCGGGCCTTTAATTAATTAATTATTTTTTAAAAAGATTTATTTTTTATAGAGACTGGTAATACAATAACTATAAAAACAGCCAAGAAAAAAAGTGTCGAGTGAGACAGTACAATAATTCAGCTGCAAGGAATCTGGAAAAATGCACCTTATAAGTTAAAAAGTAAAAAAAATCAAATTATATTCTATTAGCCAAGATCAGAAGGTGGAATGGGTCAGTGCAGGGTAATGCAATGGATCAATGCAAGGTGGACCTCCTGATGGCACCTGGTATTTTTGGCCACTGCGTGACAGAGTGTTGGACTGGATGGGCCATTGGCCTGATCCAACACTGGCTTCTCTTATGTTCTTATGTTCGTATCTTTGGGGGCACCAGGGTCCAGCCTACAGCAAGAACTTCAATGGATCAAAATAACAACAGACTGAAGGGTTATAAAGCCCCTAGGAACAATATCATTCTGGGCAAGACGGTTAAATGCAGGGAACCACTTTCTTTTGAAATCTTCATATAAGGACATGTTGTCAGAGTAACAAACATGCTGCCCGGGCCTTTATTAATTAGAGATGCCAGGGACTGAACCTGGGACCTTCAGCATGCCAAACAAAGACTCTTCCACAGAGCCACAGTTTCTCCCCAGCTATAAACTATCAGCCACCAAACGCTATGGAGCAAGCATCTTATAGATTTGGGGAACGTCTTCTAGTTGCCTCTTCACTTGACACATCACAATAACATTACCATTACATTAAATGCAAAGCAATCGAGTCGTGTTTTGCTGAGGGCTGTTGTGTTTAGTTAGCGTGGGCCTTTGTAAGAACCAGTCGAGCCCACTGCAATGTGCAGAAACAGCCAGTGGAGTAATTGCCTGTTTGAATACTCCCTTGTGGCAAACCTCCCCGGCTCCCTGCATGTAGAAATGTAGTACTTCAGGGAAGTGGCACAATTTGTCCCTGAGGTGCTAATTTTCCAGATGAGGTTCTGGCTGGGGAAGGGGGGGGGAGCGTCCAAATCTGCAGGACCTTCTGCCACCTGCAATATTAAATGCGTCCCCTTGGTGTAGAATCCTTGCTCAAATTAAACCTTCTTGCCATCTCTTCCCGCTCACAGAGTCGACACGGCACCACCGCGGACAAAATGCGGGAGCAGAAACAGCAGCCTGCGGTCCGTCCTGGGCTACATGCCCCACAATGTCAGCTTCTCGCAGCGACGTAAATACGACACGCCCAAGGAGCAGGAGGATACTGAGATGATCACCCCGGCCAAGGAGGCCAATACCAGCTGCACTGCAGATTCCAGCGAAGAACAAGATGGCGGCTCTTCCTCTGTGGTCACCACCAAGGCCAGGGTTCACTATGCCCCCGGCGTCTCTGCTCATTCACAAGTGAAAGGGTCCCCTTCCGCACAATCGCCCGCGGGTACAAATCCCGGAGACAACAAGTCCACGTCTGACCAGGATCTGGCCCACGGGAAGCGAAACCATCCTAGAAATTATGGAGGAGTCCCCGTGATGGTTCCGGCTCAGAGCAGAGAAGACCTCGTGATATAAGCTCCTACCACCGAGGAGTAACCGTTTTACTTTGGATTCAGTCATTTCTGAACTCTTGTGCCAGAGCACTATTAGCAACCTGCAAAAGAACTACCAGTGTCCCTGATAATAATAATGAAGGATGCCTATGAGTCCAGAGCACCCACTCACAAAGGAGGCTGACCACAGCCTCTCTGCACGATCTCCTGTTCTGGCCTTCCAATCAGCTTTTCCTGCGCATGGGTTATTCCACTGCCTCTCTGCCTCAGATATGATTGATCAGTCACTCCTGATGCAGAAAAGCAGCGGGATAAGCTCTGAGGAGGTTGCCTGTTGTGTCTTTCAACGAGTCCCTGCATCTTCCAGCAGTTGGAATGTCCATGGCAGCGACTTGTGCTATAGTTGGTGTAGTGGTTAGGAGCGCGGACTCTAATCTGGGAGAACCGGGTTTGATTCCCCACTCCTTCACATGCAGGTGCTGGTGTGACCCTGGGTCAGTCACAAGTTCTCTCAGAGCTGTTCTCTCAAGAGCAGTCCTCGAAAGAGCTCTCTCAGCCCCACCTACCTCACAGGGTGTCTGTTGTGGGGAGGGGAAGGGGAAGGAGATTTTAAGCCGCTCTGAGACCCTTTGGGTAGTGAAGGGCGGGGTATAAATCCAATCCTTCTCTTCTTCTTACTCAGAATCATAGAATCATAGAGTTGGAAGGGACCTCCAGGGTTATCTAGTCCAACCCCTTGCACAATGCAGGAAATTCACAAATACCTTCCCCCCCAACACATACCCCAGTGACCCCTCCTCCATGCCCAGAAGAGGGCAACCCCCCCCCTCCAGGATCCCTGGCCAAACTGGCCAGGAGAAAATTGCTTTCTGACCCCAAAGTGGTGATCAGCATTTCCCTGGGCGTGTAAGAAAGGGCCACAAGAACTAAGCTCTGAGGCGAACCTTTCGGCCCTTCCCCCCATGACCTGCCTAAGTTCACAGAATCAGCACTGCTGTCAGATGACCATCTAGCCTCTGCTTAAAAACCTCCAAAGAAGGAGGACCTTCTTGATCTAAAAGAGTACCTGGGTGACTCTGGTTTTAATTCTGAAAGAGAGTGCACGTCAGCAATCAGATGGCTGAGAAATAGTTTCTGGTCATTTTACCACATGCCTCTTCTAGTTACTGTGAGGCCTTCGAAGACCTGGACTGGCCTCATGCCTTATCGGTTACCCCACCTGTGGAACTCCATGCCACTAGAAGCCCTACAAGTCTGGTACTTATAGACTTTTAGAAAATAGCAGTTTACATTCTGCCAGGTGTGGAGGAAGGGCAGACATATTAGGATCCTGATGTTGTTTCTGGTGCTGGTGATGCCATTCACCTGTACCCCTGTGGTTTGTTTGAGGATGCGTAAGATGTTCTGTGTTTTATTTATTTCACTGTAAATTGTTGTAAAATAATTGTTTGTTGCAACCTGCTTTCGGAAGAAAGGAAGGATATAAATCCTGTAAATAAATCAGTGCATAAAAGGAAGAAAGCGGAACCTTCCTCATTCGGCCAGCAAGACTAGGGAACACAGACCGACAAACTGGCAATGTTAAAATATTGTTGACATGACCTAGGGGGTTGCCAGCTCCGGATTGGGAAATTCCTGGAGATTTGGGGGGGGTAAAGCCTGGGAGGGTGGGTTGGGGGGGACCTCACAGGGGATGATGAAGAAGAAGAAATTGGATTTATGCCTCACCCTTCACTACCCAAAGGAGTTGCAGAGTGGCTTACAATCTCCTTTCCCCTCCCCTCCCCACAACAGACACCCTGTGAGGTAGGTGGGGCTGAGAGAGCTCTCCTGAGAACTGCCCTTGAGAGAACAGCTCTGAAAGAACTTGTGACTGACCCAAAGTCACACCAGCAGCTGCATGTGAAGGAGTGGGGAATCAAACCCGGTTCTCCCAGATTAGAGTCTGTGCTCTTAACCACTACTCCAAACTGCCGTAGAGTCCACCCTCCATAGCAGCCAATGCCTCCAGAGGAACTGATTTCCATCATCTGGAGACTGGTTGTAATCAGGGGCATAGCCAGAAAGTTTTGAGTGGTAGGGTGTTGGTAAATCCTGTGAGGCAGGGGAGCATGGAGGAGAGCCGTCCACTCCCCCCCCCCACCGACCTCATGACTCATGTAGACGAGGAAGCCAGTAGGTGAGGAAGAGGGTTCTGTCAGCTCCCCTTTTTAAACATGGAAGAGGACTCGGCACTGGGGGGAGGAGGAGACGGCAGCCTTCTGCCCCCTCGCTGACTACGGCTGGGGCAGACCTCATGACTGAGGGGGCATGGCCCCGCCCCACTGTAGCTATGCCTCTGGTTGTAATTCTGGGAGATCTCCAGGTTCCACCTGAAGGTTGACAGCCCCGTTAAAGTTGACAACAGGGCTTTTTTCCTCTTGTGGATCTTTCACTGGAATGAATCCCTCTCAGGCCCAAACAACAGGTGATGTGGAATTCACACCTATCAGCGGAAACACTGCCGGCCACGGAGATGTCCTCCTCAGTCACTTGAACCCCATCCCCCACTGGCAGCCAGGATGAACCTGGCAACCCTAATTCACTTCCATAAAATCCAGTTGAACCGTGTGACTAGGCCTCAGGTCGGGTGTCCGGCCTTCAGGCGTCAGCTGGAGACCTTCCGGAATTACAACTGATCTACAGACTACACAGATCACTCCCCCTGAGGAATACTTTATGGAAAACTTCTCAGCAGCTGGGAAGAAGGTTTATTATTATAAAAGACAGGGGGAAAGGGGGGTCTGTTTTTATATAAATTCCAGAGAGGTAGCCATTTTGGTCTGCGGCCAAAACTATTCCTCTATAGCCTGCCTTTCTCAATGAGACTCAAAGCGTATTACAGAATATTTTTTAAAAAATGATTTAGTTAGATAGCATCAAGATAGCCAGGAAACCAGGCAATAAGACTAGGAGTGCAGAATAAAGAGAACAATGCAAACACAAAACTGGAAGTTATGCCATAATAAAGAAAGTTAAAGACAGAGATAATTGCAAAGGGGGAAGACAATGCGAGTAAAAGCAAGGTGATACCTACAATAAGCATTGCAACAGACGACAATCCTCTCCCCTTATAAAAATGCCCTCCTGGATGCTTGCATCATACGGCACTTCTTGTTCCTATATAAAAGCGCTTTCCTAAACATTTCTGTTTCATATATGGGTTATCAAACTCGTTACGACCAGGAACAGGGCGTTTTCGGTGGCAGCTCCTATCTGGTGGAATGAGCTCCCAGAGGAGATCAGGGCTCTGCGGGATCTAGCACAGTTCCGCAGAGCCTGCAAGACGGAGCTCTTCCGCCAGGCGTTCGAATAGGAGCCGCTACCACCATGGTACCATCACCATGGTACCACCTACGCCCCAGGTTTTGTGGACAGGGTCATCATGATGTGTGCGCTTTGGATGAGAATGGGACTTTTTAGGAGACGGCCATCTTGTTTTTAGATGAGGAGCACCAAATACTGTTTATGAATGTAGATGTTTTAATACTTAATGTTATTTAATATTTCTAATGTTTTAATTGTTTTATTATACGTTTCGGCTATATGCCGTGTAAGCCGCCCTGAGCCTACGGGGAGGGTGGGATAAAAATGTAAATAATAAATAAATAAATAAATAAATATGCTGCAGCATGATCGGAGACTGGGATTCTAGAAGCATAGGCATCTAGAGCAGGGATCTCTAACGTGGTACCCGTGGGCGCTGTGGCTAGTGTTACCAGCCCCCTGCTGGACATGGGGGCAGGGCTATTTTTGGGCAGGAACCCACAGGAGCGGAGTTCCGGCTGGATCCCAAGTTGGCCACGCCCAGCAGGAACTCATTAGCATAACAGGCCACACCCGACAGCAGAAACTCATTAGGATTGGCTCCTGGCCTAACATGCAAAAAGGCCCTGGGTTTTGACAACAAACAAAGGTAAAGAGAATAAGAAACAAAAGGTGGGTGTGGCTGGATGACCACACTTCTGGTAACATGGGGTGTGTGGCCTAATATGCGAATGAGCTGTGCTGTCAGGGGTGTGGCCAAATAGGCTGATGAGTTCCTGCTGTTGGGTGTGGCCTATTATGCTAATGAGTTCCTGCTGGGCTTTTTCTACAAAAAGAGCCCTGCGTGGGGGATCTCCCACACCCAGGCTCCCAGAAGGGGGACTTACCAGGAGCAGGAGGGAGGCCCAGGCGACATCTCCAGTGATGTGAATGTCCCTTCTGGGGTGTACCAGAAATGATGTCATCATGTTGGCGATGCCCCAGCAACACTCTCATATTTGGGCAAAAACTGTATAGGTAAAGGTAAAGGTTCCCTTGCTCGAAAGCCATTCGAATCCGACTCTAGGGTGCGGTGCTCATCTCAGTTTCTAAGCCGAAGAGCCAGCACTATCCAAAGACGTTTCCATGGTCATGTGGCCGGCATGACTAGACGCTGAGGTGCACGGAACACTGTTACCTTCCCACTGAAGTGGTGGTACCTATTTATCTACTTGCAATTTCTTGCTTTCTTGCTTTCGAACTGCTAGGTTGGCAGGAGCTGGGGCCAGAGACGGGAGCTCACGCCGTCATGCGGCACTCGGGTCTCGAAATGCTGAACTACCGACCTTCCAGCCTGCAGTTCAGCGTCTTAACCACTGAGCCACCGCAGCTCCAAAAACTGTATAGCAGAAGCCATTTTTACCGCACGCACTCCTGGAGCAGCACTGGAGTCCCCCACTCCAGCGCCGATCCGACTTGGCAACCCTACCTGAGTGGCACCAGTGCACTTTTTTTTGGGGGGGGGGGAGTGCTTTCTCAGTCCTGAGGGGGGAATGGGTGGAAATTCGCCCAAATTTATAAACGAATACTGGCACTTTTTGTTAAATTAGAAAAGCACAGCTGAAGACTAACATGTTTATTGTGACAGAAGCGTCTTTCCTATAAATGTTTCACTCTTTACGGTGCCACAAGGCTCTTTGGTATTTGTTTTTGCACCCTGGCCTATATAAACTGCAGAGAAACTTTCTTAGGAGGCCATTGAAGAGGTGTCTCTGCTATGACAGAGAGGAATTAAATAAACCACACAGGGATTTGGATTCATAACTGTGGTCACGGCAGGGAGACAGCCAAAGTGTGGCTTACGTCTCGTTTTGTTCCACCCTTTCCACCACGGCGGCGGTTCTCCATGATTCTGGGGTAGGGTTGAGCAGAGGTCATTTCGGGGGGGATCGCGGGGGATCACAGTTCCCCTGGGTGAGGTACGGGGGCGGGGCACATGACGAAGCCCCGCCCCCTGCTTCCAGCCGCCCCACTTCCGGCCCTCATTCAGCCAGGAGGAGGCAGGAGAAGAGGGAGGGTAGGTTGCTTCCTCCCTGCCTCTCCCCACCCCTGCCTGCCTGGGGCCAGGGAGGGCCTTCGCGGGGCTTCCTTGCACTCCCGCCAGCCTTGCAAATCCAC